TCCCGTATCTTTGTTCGACACACGATATCTTTAACATAGCCCCATAGACATTACTGAACTAAAACAAAAGATAACAGATGCGATTGCAACCATTGATGAGGCTATGGTACAGCGAACATGGCAAGAAATCAGGTACCGCCTTGATGTGCTTCGTGCGACTAATGGTGCCCATATAGAGGTGTATTAAATGAAGTAAAAAAACTTTGAAAACCACTGAGTACAATAGAACAAGTCTGATAAAGATATCTTATCAATTGCCTTTGTTATAAAGTTTTTAAATTGTAAAAATACTTTATGGACACCCTGTACTTCTGAGACGAAGAAAGATACACACACACATTGTTGTAGTTTCCTGTTCACTCTTTACATGTAGTGTCCTGATATAACAAGTCATTAAGATTAGTTCAGTTGTACCACATAACAAAATGTTACAAGTGAAATGAATTTTAAAATACAAAAAACATCAGATTACATGGTTCTCCCTAAAAATGTTCACATGTCCTTTAGTCCAAACATTGGGATGAAAAGGAAAAGTGTAAAATATCGAAACTACTTTCCATTTAAATTTGGTATTGCTCCATTCATGTGGATTTAAACTTTTTTATAAATTTACAGTATATTGTGTATTTACCTATTATTAAAATGCTTGGTATCTCTCAGATGAACAGAGAATTATACAATAATTTCAATCTTTGTATTTTTCAGGCAACTAAAGAAAAAAATAACTTAGCCACATTCATAAGACAATGTTATATTTGTAAAATGACACTCTTGGCTAAAAATGTGTATATGCGAAAAGTTTTGAACAATTCTTGGTGAATTTGGAATATTCACCTTATTAACTAATGATAGCAAAAAATAAGAAACAATAATTATGTGTTTGTACATTACACCCTGTCCTTACACCATCATTATTTGAAAAATCATGAAACATGCTTATCTCAGTTTCAGTCATAAGGCTTTTTCACTCAATAGGCAACTACCATAACTTTAGTAACAACTAAAGTTTAAAGTTTTACCTCTTATATACAAATCTTCAAACTTTGCTTTTGCTGTTTTGAATGATTCCAGGCACTTTTCATATTCTACTTTTGTTTTCCCTACCCCATCTTGAAACTGAAAAGAGAAAAATGGTATTCACTGTACAGTGTAACAATGCTGACTGATACAACAAGTATTGACACAGAATAATGCGTATCCTGCCCTTTTATCATATACCAGGAACAAAGAAATAAAATATTTTCCTTACATTTTTTTGAAAGTTTTATCTTCTTTTATATTTCAGATTTAAAGTGTTTACAATAGTTCTGCAAGTAAGTTATACTTTCTTTGAGTGTTAATTTCATTACTTTATTGTTAGAATGCTTAATGTGTTGATTTTTATTTATATATTTTCATTATAAAAATTATTTTGCACTGTTAGCTTAGTTGGTTGAGCCTTGTGATAATAGAGATTATAGATACAAATATCACTAACAATGATGTACCATAAATAGTATGATCATAAGTACAATATATTAAGTTAGCTTTAGCTATAGTTATTATTGGGTTGATTTTTAGTTAAGGTCAATGTAGGTAAACTTGATTTGATCAGAAGTTAATACTGATTACCCAAATAACATTTTGTTCCAACAATGTATATACATTTTTTGGTTTAAAGACTTGAATAAGTAATTTAAAAACAACTCTGTTTGCTTGTTATGAAACACAACATTTCACAATAAGCTATTTTTGCTATGCCCATCATTAGTATCAAAACCTAATTTTTAGCATTATAAGCCCCCAGAATTACTGCCGAGTTTAGTTTAATAAAATTAGCAGCATTCCAACGTGCTATATCAAAATAATATTTATGAAAACAGTAGTGCATAAATATAAATCATATTACTTGGTTATAAATTCATGTCATTAGATGGTTTAGTTCAAACATTAAGTGTACCAAAAACACGATAGAACAAAAATTATGATAATGAAAGCTTTCCAGATAAATTCTCCACCAAGATTTTATTCATATTTCGTAACAAAACTGATACCATGACCAGTTGAGAAATGGAATTTTGGTCTATGTTTACTCAACAGTAGCCCAGCAAAATCGATGATAAGAATTGTGGCCCAATGAAACTAAGTCATTTTTAAGTGTGTAAAAAAATTAGTTTAATTTTTAAATATACTTAACATGAATTTAAATTCTTCAATTTCAACTGTTGTTACCACTTTTTACAGTTATGTGAATACAGGTTCAGTTCTAACGAAGAACTCTGATCTAACATTGTATGATCTTGTTCTAAACTTTTGTTTTTGTTTCAGAATTTTTACTCAAAGCTATACAAAAAGCTATCAACATATAGCGAGGGTTCTCATTAGGATTTAGTAGCAGATGAAGTTTACCAGCTACTTTGGGATTAATTTCAGTACAAAAAGTCAATTATTCAGTCAACTATTCTTAGAAAATAAATACTTCAGACAGGATTCCACAGGTTATGTAAATCCTGGAAAGTCATGGAGATTTATAAACAACTTTTTCAGTGTTGAAATCCTGGAAAATCAATGTTTTTTTTTATCACGAAGTCCTAGAAAAGTCTTTGAAAGTCTAACCCTACTGTTCACACATTCCTTATTGTTATTGACAACAAATTGTACTATTGTGTTTATCTCAATTTCATGAAACCAATCTTCAGAAAATGTGACTCAAAATTGGAAATATGCTGACTCAGTAACAATGGACATGTAACAGGCTTTGAGCTATGTGCCTCCATTTGCAACAGAACTGAAAAATTAATGATATTTACCAATCAATTAACATATAGTTCCCTCAATCAATTACATTCAATTAATTGTTTAATACAGTGTTCCTCTAATCAGCTGTTCAAAAAGAAAAAAAAAAAGTTGATGAAAGGTGTTGTCAACAGTTTAAAATTAGTGACAGTGGCAGATAACCTTAGTAGCCATAACAAAGACAGGGCAAGCAGGTAGGTAGCAATGGGAATTGAACCCAAGACCCTCGAATTAAGGGACAATCAGGACTGTAAATACAGTATTGTGATGTAATGTATTAATATTATTTGGTCTTTTTATGGTGTAATAAGTTTTTTTTTCACATTTCAAATAAATAAAATTGTTTAAAACTGTGGTGCTAACCTACAAATGTCGCTAGATTTTTCAAAAGTTGCTTATGATGTGGAATTGTAGCATAAACTGAGATAATGTTTCAAAATAATAGAAAAAATGTGAGATATACAATATAGTTAATGTTGTACAACAAAGAGTGGTCTCAGTAGCAATATGAATGTGACTCTGTGCTTTATTGGACTGGCTGGTGTGATGATTTGTCTTGATCCATGTTCAACAGTCAATGAGTTACATATATGCTATCTAAATACATTTCAACAACATGCATCGCTAATAGTTACACACACACACACACACTGAATAACAGTACCTTGATTAGTTCTCCATGCAGTCGGCTGTATTCCTCTGTGAAATGCTTTCTTAGGGCCCGTTTTTCTAGAATAAGACTATTCACACAGTCTAAAGTGTGTGATCCCAAATGATCAGCATTCTGTTGTATGAGGTTACTGCGAGTTTCAGCTTCCAATAAAATACTATTCCATGCCTTAGAAAGAAAACAACATTATCAACTAAAGTATTTTTTTTATACAACCAAGGATAGCATTTGTGCTAAGAAATACATTTTTAATAAAGCTAAAAAGTTGATTAATAACAAACCTTACTGATAAAAACAAAAAAAGAGAGCCAAATATAAAAGCCATAAAAATAGCAACAAGCGTATTTCCCTAACAGTTTATAATATATTTCTGCCTATAGTACAACCCTAGCTGGACTTGTAATGTCTTCCAAAATTAAACTTTCAAAAGCTAAAAAATATCTGCTTATTTGAAAAACTGTGCCATCTGGGCATATTATCACAAAAATATACATTTTAATAGCTTTCTACACAAAATTTTTATTTTTGGGTTACTTAACACATCAATTTACCACAAAAAAAATAAAAAAATCTTAAACTAATATAGACCTATAAACTGGCTCAAAAGTAAAACTAGAAATTTTTTTATTCACTGACATAACAAAAAGGAATAGTTCAGAAACAAAGACCAAAGTGCTTATAAATTTTCCACCTCACAAAAAAACTTTTAATCAATCAGATTTTATATGCCTTTATTGAAATAAAATACAACAATTTAAAACATTTACCAGTTCTAGTTGAAAGTTTTATTATCACTGAGGCCTATGCCACTTTCCCACTCTAGCACTTGCTAAATTAAGGTATTTATTATTATTATCATATAAATTGTCTAATTACTGATATGTATATACAAGTAGAAGAAATGAATGCCGGTTAAATTAGTTACTAATCACAGTTTGATATCAGATATACTTCTAATCTTTAGCCTTCAACATTAAATATATCAATAAATTGCACCATATTAATGAAAAGTATGTCCACCATATTCTTAAAAAACATTTGAACTAAGAAGTTTGATATGTATACGAAAAACAAATTAACAGATGCAAATTAAGTACAAGTACTGGTCAAATAAAAATACACTGATTTTGCTATTTTTTTTAATACAAAAATGTTTCAACACTATTTTGAACAGGAATAGAGGTCAAATTTCATAAGAAGAAACAAATTAACTGGAAAATCTGTAATTTAATTCAAAACCTTTTTCTCCATTGTGCTTACAGTAATACAATTTATGCTACTACCAGTACTAGTGTGGTTACAGGTGTATAGTTAACTTTCAGAAGATTAAATATAAATATCAAGACTTCTTTCAACTCACTCACATGTCATTAAATGTGCCATGAACTTTACGTTAACATGAACAAATTCTGGCCTTCTAATGTGTAGTTATGTTAGCTGATCTCACCAGTTTTCAATGTACTGAGGTATTGATAGGATAATAAGAAGCAAAATGATTTCAGTGAAATGATATTCTAAAATCATGCTTATTACAAGAAAGATTAAAAAGCCCCAATGATATAGGCATTTATACACCACTGCAATGATATAATATATTTTACATTTATTAGGCATTTTACACCACTGCAAATGATAGAATATATTTTAAATTTATTGGGCATTTTACACCACTGCAAATGGTGTAATATATTTTAAATTTATTGGGCATTTTACACCACTGCAAATGGTGTAATATATTTTAAATTTATTAGGCATTTTACACCACTGCAAATGGTGTAATATATTTTAAATTTATTAGGCATTTTACACCACTGCAATGGTATAATATATTATAAATTTACTTTTGCCTTTAGGTGCATTTGTAAAATTTATAATAGTAAAAAGGATAAACCAATCACACAGAGGTATTTAGAATATGTTACCCGAGTCTGCCTGATACCCAATTTTCTTCACACTAAACCTGACTTAGGCCCAAAGCTTAAACAAAATATTGCTCACAAGATAAGTAGCATCGGCTGACCATAGGAGGATCAAGATGGCCTATTTTTATGTTCCAACCTGCCAAGATAAAGAAGTAAAAGGTAATACAAATACTAATATGTGTACTTACCAACATTATGATTGCACCTTAAAATGACCATTTTAACAATTGATAAAATAGGGACTGTAGGATTACAAAATTCCTTAAAGTGATGCTTTTTATATAGAGCATAAAAATTATAAAACTGTCAATTAAGCATTACTTGGCCACAGCTATGAATGTAGATTAATTTTTTTTTCTTATTCAATAAATATGTTTGAAAATTTTTTTTTCAACAAAGTTAACAATGTTGAAAAAAAATAAGCGAAAAGCCAAAGGAAGCCCAAATTTGTTTTGTTTTTTTTACACACCAGTTTAACAAAACTCTCCTAATCCAAGCCAGACCCGCCCCAAACTGGGATATTTTCTCTTATTACCTATCCATAATTTGGCTCAAACTAACATAATTGCAGCGATTTACCAAATCATAAGGATAACATTTTTTTTGAAGTAACTCAATTTTTGTAGTTTTGATGATCTTGTTTCAGTACTTTTCGTAGCATTACAACTTTCTATATTACAAAACTAGCTAGGTTATGTACATGTTGATCCCTACTTGTCTTTATAAAATTAAAAAAAAAGTTATTATACTTGTTTGTTTCACTTTCTTTTTTTTTTTACTATTACCTATATTTTTATGCACCAGCAGTACCAAGTGTGGTGTGCACGTGTACCCATTTCTCAATTTTATTACTTATCAGGATCACTACCAACCTACCCTCAAGTCTAATTATATGCCCAAAGTAGCATATTGTCCCAAGACAGAAGAGTTCCATGGACTATATTTTTTCTGTATACTTATCTGGAAAAATTACGTTGAAATTGAAATAGTGAACGTTTGATTTAGTTCATTAACATGTACATAGTGATTTAGGCAGCTTTATAAGTACAATAAACTTTAGTTTTGCTCAGCCAATACTGTGAAATAGTCATTGTTAATCTTCAGACATTTTAAAGGTGGGTTTAAATGGTCAATTTTTATGGCCACCATGATCCCTACTATTAAGTACTACAATACTTAATGATTCTGTAATGTGGTATGTTTATTATATTTAACCTTAAAAATTACTAATGATGTCTATACAGACATTTTCCTAAACTATTTATACATCAAGTTACTTGTGGGTCCCCGACTTTGTTGTTTATAGAATCCCTAACAATGAGTCAAACAAAATACTACGTGTAGACCTGCCATTGTACTGAATCCCACTAATTACCATTATACTTTCCCCTATGTATTTCATCCAAATTCTTTGGTCAGTTCTTTACAACGAGTTTTACAACAAGCAAAAATATAAAATTACTCAATATGATACAATGCATCAGTAATGAATGATATAAAAACAAGGCGAAGGTTAAAGATAGTTACAATGTTATATCACACACATTTTTGGAATAAACTCTCACCATTGTAGATAAAGCATAAGACAAATGAAGACTTAAATGTTTTAACTAAAAACAAGCACTAACAAACATTAATTTTTGCCTATAATTTAGTAGCACAATGTTATCCAGATGTTTATTATTAAATTAATAACATTCATATAATACTCGAATGAAACAATTACAAACTGAATTAAACAAAATATGTAATAAAACATATGTCTTTACATAGCCAAATGAGTGGCAATGTGACAGATCTGCAAATTACAGTATTTTGTGGTAAATTTAGCACATGTAACACCTGTAGGCTATAGTTAGTTACAGTTATGAAGTAGACATATTAGACATACAAAATACTGTACAGTAAGACAACAAAACACTATATGAAAGAGGAGAAAGTTCAATATCACATTTTCAAATGACAAAAAAATTAATGTCCCAAGTTCGTCTAATGGTAAATACATAGTACAGGTCAAAGTCTGAATTCTTAAAGTAAAATCGGGCATGATCATAAAAAGAACTTGCAACATTGTGAACATTTCATAGTATTCACTGGTTTTTAAAACAGCAGTAAAAGAGTAAACCCGATACTAAAGAATGTAAAAGTTATTGGAATATATTTTAATATAAAAAAAAATAAAACTATGATACATTTAAGATTATATGGGTCAAAATGTTGCCTTAAAGCTGTTACTTAATTATATGATGCACAGTTTAACCCTTATGAGACCATTCTTTTGGCTATATGTTTATTATGTTTTAGCACTATTTGGATTACACAGTTCCCAAAATTTATACTTAGTAACAATTGATGTTTTAGTGCTACTTGGTTATATTTTCATGGAACTTTAATCACTATACATTTTTATCAATAAAATTACTTAAAACTTAAAAAACAAAATATTTTTAGACTAACCTCACCAATCTGACTTCCACTCAGTTCATGGTTCTCTTCCACCTTTTGCCCCAAAAGACTGAAAGAGCTCAATCCTACTGCATATTCTCTGTCACACTTTATCCTAAGTTGGATGCATCGTCTCATGTTTTCAAGCAATCGAAGTTCTGCATCTTGTAAGTTAATAAGGGCTTCATGGGAAGTCTTGCCTTGAAGTTCAGCAGCAAATCCCATTTACTAAACATAAAAAATACAACATAAGTTCTGCATCTTGTAAGTTAATAAGGGCTTCATGGGAAGTCTTGCCTTGAAGTTCAGCAGCAAATCCCATTTACTAAACATAAAAATACAACATAAGTTCTGCATCTTGTAAGTTAATAAGGGCTTCATGGGAAGTCTTGCCTTGAAGTTCAGCAGCAAATCCCATTTACTAAACATAAAAAATAAACATAAGTTCTGCTCTAATTATCACAGATATAATAATAAGAATTAATTTCTATATTCCTGTGGTTTACACATAAATCATACAACTACCAAGAAATGATACAAATATTTAATAGTTTTAAAATTCACAAAATTTCATTTTGTGAAGCATAAATATACTTATTAACAATTACATATATTGGACCATTTATGAAAAATAAAATAAAATATTTCTGGGATATGCATCAAACAGTTCCATGAAGGCTTGTACCACCACTATCATTAAAAATATACATAATCAAATCATATAAAAGTTTCTGTTACTTGATATATTACAATAATACTTGAGCAAACAAACTTATAAAATACTGTAACAAAATCACAGAAATAACTATTTCATTCAGGTATAGGAAAAGACAAACCAATACTCGGTCAAAACACGTGTTACGTTCCTCAAAATAAAACCATTTCATTATGTTTATGAATCATTGTTTGTCAATTTAATATTATATTAGCATAATGTGCTTATATACACAAGTAACTGAACATTATTGCTAGTTCAGGTTATCAAATGAAAACATAGGAAATTTAAAAAGCTTAGAATTCAAACCCAGAAACACAGGAAAATATAGAAGGTAAATCTATATGCATTTTAAACAAAATTTTGATTTAAAAAACAGTTTGCCTCCTTCTCCACTAACCATCTCTCACTTCTAACTTTAATTAAAAAAATAATACTTTTATCTTTACCATCTTAAACAATAACTAGATGTATTCATGACAATAAAAATGTAACAATAGAAATACAATGAATGTAGTATTGAAAAATAAGAACTTTTGTTTTAGACTTGATATACTAAACTTAGAGAACAGGTAGTTATATCATGGTTATCTTAAAAATTAACTGAATGTGATAAAGCCTTCAAATAAAATAAAGTGAATGTTTCATTTAAAAGATACACAACACTATCTACACCCTCTTGAACAACGCTTACATGTGAAAGACTGTTTCAATAGACAAAAGATGCAACAATAGAAATAAAATGATAGTGGTACTGAAAAATACTAAAATTACATAATGGGTAGTGATATTGTAATAATATTAAATAATGATTGAATGTAGTAAAGACTGTTTACAATAGTCAAAAGTAAATCAATGACTGTTACATTGATGAACAACTATTTCTGGGACTGGAATAAAGACACCTAGTCTAATTGTACTTTCTTGGGATTGGATGTTTCCTTTTCAATGATGAACTAAGCTCTAATTAAGAACAACACTGATTTTAATGTTTCTTTCCTACAGACAACGATTTACTACCACTGGCTGATTTGTCCAGCTTCTTCTCCAGTAGTTATCCCTATTGTTGTTCAACACTCCTTTGATTTTCACATATTTTGTTCATTTCTTTTCTTAAGCTTTCTGTCTTTGCTATGGCTATCATCATTTGTGTCACACCTGCTCCCTATATATCATTGTTTTCTACAACTTTGTTCCAGCTTGCTGTTTCCATCTTTAAGCAATTCTTCTGTACAGGTTAGCTTCCTCTAAATTGTAGTTTCCTTCCTCAACAATGCTTTCTCTCTCTCTCAAGAAGGGAACAGTGTTTGTTACCAGTTTCCTTCTCTTCAGCTTCTAACCTCTTCTTTTCAAACTCAACTTTTTCTTTCTTTCCCTGCCTCTCTTTTTCAGCATTTCCTCCATCATCTTTGTTTATAGTTGCTATAAGTCATTTTAGCACATCTTAACATTTCACTATTGAGTAAAATTTTATGGGGCTAAAGCTTGTCAGGATCTGAAACTTCTTGATATCTTTGACAGTTTTTGGTGACAACATTTGTATTAACACAAGAACTTCTTTCTGTGTCTGCATTTCCATGGGGCAATACTAATGCTTTCTTTACAATGAGAGGCAGAAATCTGCATTTCAAGTTTCCATTGTCAAGGTTTTCAAGAAGACTTGCCTTCAGAAGTGATCTATGCTTTCCCTGTCTTCTAAAACCATCTTCTGTTTGGTAAACTTTCCACTCATCTGTAACATTAGTTTAACATTCTCTTCAAACATCAGTTGTCCAGATAAAATCTCTACATCTGTGATAGAACCTTGATCAAATGGAGACAAACAAACTAGTGCTTGGATCAACTTGTTTTCAAAATGAAGCCTAATGATTAGGTACTTTGATATTGCAGTGCAGAATTACTATCTTTCAAGAATTTCCTTGTGATGGGTCTCTATTTTCATCTTGGAAAGCTCCCGTCTTGCTTCATCACCAGCTGATAATTAATTCCAATATCTAGATTTTTCAGATCTTTGATGCTATACGATTAACAGTATCTGCTTTGACAAACCATCTCAGAATGGCACAAATGAGCATTGTCATTTGACTGGATAGCAAGTGAATCATACATTGATCAATTTGGAACTCTTAGAGAAAATCTTCAAAAAGAGGGATAACTGACAACAGAAAGAATAATTTGGCTTATGTGTCAGGTCATCTTAGTGGTTCCCTTATCCCTTTGAAGTTGATACTCTTTGGCATTATCTTTGGGTCCCTCTCTAATTTTGACACATATTCTCTTATCCCTGACCACTGCTCAATGATGTACCTTTAGGTTGGTCCAATGCTCAGACAATGAACTTCTGTGCAATTTATAAAGACTTCCTCTGGAAGGTCAAGATCTATTTCTATGACTCTGTAATCCTTCCTTCTTCCAGACAAGATCTTAAATAGTCCAAATAAACCTATCACTAATTGTTCTGTTTCCTGACCATAATCTGTTATGTCTTTACTAAAGGCATTGTGCATTGTATGAAAATTGCATGTATCTACATCAGCAAGACCACTCCATTCTGGATCAGCTTTGGCTAACTTGGAAACTTTTCTAAAGACTGTCTTGTTACTATTTGCTCCATCACTACCCAATGCAACTAGGGATTCCACCATACAATCTGCATGGAAGAATAATAATGACTTATAATATCTGCACCAGACTTCATCATGGATTGGAGACCAGTACCTTATTCAAGAGATCCATTTGTTTCTTTAGTTGTGCCTGAGTTGTTTCATCATGCTGCAATGAAAAGGTTATTTGAATTTTGTACATCATACATCATAGCAGAAGGAAAGTGGGACCCAAACAATCTGATAGTAGGTAAGATAGCTTTGTACTGCTCATATTGAAACTGTCCACTATTGGGCATTTGAACATTGCTTTGAAAATTTCACCAATACAATCACTAGTTCTGAAGCTCATGTTGGACAATGCACATTTTGCTACCCAAGTAACTTCCACACACACACAAGGTATCCTCTCTTGGCACAGTGTAATTTAAAATTATGGATTTATCTTTTCCAGTTAATGTCCAAAATAACTGACTACAAGGACCTCCTTTTTCACCTGCAAACTTTTTACTTGCACTTTCCTGTGAGGTACCAATGGTTGGTTGACTTGAATTCGAATTTTGTCTGATTTGGTGAAGAAATGAATTTACTCAGTTTCACCCACCTACATGCAAGTCCTATCTAACCACTTACACCAATCAACAACAAGGGTAGAAAGAAGGGCTCCAACTGCAACCAAAGAGGAAAGGGTCAAGTGTTGATGCACAGATAATACACAAGATTCCAAAGTCTCAGGGACAGGATAGAAAACATATCACCAAAAGAAACATAGAAATCCCAAAAAGAAAGATGCAGCAAATGTAACTGGATAAGGTTGCATTGCAACCCAGGAAATCCCAACAACAGCGAAACTACATGTGTAAAGTGAGAGCCAAAGATGACAAACGAGCCAACATGGAGGTAATAAGGAATCTAGAAAAACAGGGAATTGAATAAAACATACTTGAGAAATCATGTCCAAAAATGCCATATTAGGCCTGACTGATTCAGCAGGAAGGGTAGTGGAAAACACAGCAAAATCTGGTTGTGTAAAAAAGGCTAACAAATCCTCATCGGCCAAACAGGTTTGGCTTGTTCAGGAAGATTAGTCAGACAAGCTCAGGAGAAGAAGGTTGACCCAAATAATGAAAAATCTCATGATGGATAATAGCAGAGAAATCCAATGACAGGTCTTGCCTACCTGCAGCCTGTGAAAATAGTGCTAGAGGTATAACACCCAAAGTGAGAAAATGAATCTCAGAATTAATTGCAGAAATATGTGTTTGATGTAAAATATGCAAGTGTGAGAAAAAATATAGAGTGGGAAATTATGTTAAATTAAAGACTTCTTCAATGTAAAGACAAAAAATAATAATGAAGAAATCCCACTTTGGAAATTAAACTTTTAAAATTACAATTCACACAAAAAACACCAAAAGAAAAATTGCCTGAATAATAATACTGACAAACGAGAAGTGATAGTTCAGTAGAACTGAATAGTGGGTGTCACGTGTGTCATGAGAGTATGTTACACTCTTATTGTTGGAGAACTGACAGATGATGATTTGCATGAGACACACATTGGAATCAATCAATTCCAATGGAGGGGAGGTAGAAGGTTCGTGGCATGTGTAAAAAAGTTTTTGCATATAGAGGGCAGAACTTATGTGAGAAGAGGTAACATACCATATCGGAACATCCTTTTATGTGAATAAATCTGTTGATAAAAATGTTTGCTATACCTTTGTAACTTCTTTTTTACAATCAAATTGTGGCTATCACTTTCTTTGATAAAATACATAGCCAAAACAAACTTAATAAATAATGTTCTTACTTGTTTGTTGTTTTCTACAGCATGTATTAAAAATGTAACTGTTTTTTCAAGTTGAAATATAAGCTCAAACAAAAAAAATATATACAGAATTTATAAC